CTCCCCTGCTCAGAGGCAGCTCTCCCGCCAAATCCAGGGACCACCTGAAGCCCAGGCCGCGGATGAGCAGCGACTGCAGCTCGGCCTTAGCTTGCGTCAGGTTTGCCCTGCTTCTCTGGCATGCTTCACAATTCTCCACCCACTTCTTCACCTGCCCTCGCATTCCCTCCCACCACCATCCCGTTTTCAGCAGCAGCACCGTCCTTTTATGCCCATAGTGGCCCAGCTTAGTGTGCACTTCACTGATCACCGCCTCCCTCTCTCCTAGCGCTGGCACCAGCTTCCACCCATCCTCTATCTGTATCTGCAGCTGCTGTTGGTACCACCTGTAGTGGTGCCCCCTTGCCCTTACCCTCTCCGTCATCTCCTCATCCTCATCCGTTTCCCCCTTCACCCACCTCATGGCGGGTTCATCCTCCCAGATATTTGCCGGCCCTTAGCTCCCCTTAGCCCCCTTTAGCTCGACCTACTTTGCTGTTATAGTCACAGTAGGCTCCAATGTGCCTAAAACGAAAGATAGAGTGCATAGTCGGATTTCTGCACAGCGGCCTCAAACGTTCATAGCGTTCTAGTCACAACATCTAATGACTTGATTCAACTTGGATCTGGAGCGTCTTATTCTCGCCTACACTAGGCAATTTAGATCGCACGATTTGACCAAGCATTAAAGACACAGCGTTGGTTTGAACGAACGGAACTATGGCAGCAACATAGTCTTAGAACACAAAATAGGAAGAGATATGAAGAATTACGAGTTGGGAATGACTCCCAGCTCCTACAAACCCCAAGAGCCGAGGTACAGTGATATGGAACGGTGCCACACTGTCCCCAACCATGAAGGGTCTCGAAACTACCCTTCACTAGGGCCTACACCAAGTGAAATGTTACACTACACAAAGTAATGTAACTATCTTCAATATCTGAAGGTGTACCCTTTTTGGCGAGCTTCAAAATCACTTGAGGCTTGACACCAAGGCTTGGGCTCTTCACCACAAACTCATCCTTGAGTTCTTGATGGGTCTGCTGCACACACCTGCGACACACCGAACGTTCGACACAGGACAAAATAGAAACGGCACACAACAAAAATAGAACCCGCGCGCGAGACACAAACGACCGCGTAACACGCGTTTAGCGCTGCTGGTACAAGAAGTTGGCAGCTGTTTTAGAGGAGATGGGATTCAGGACCAGCAGCTGTGATGAGAGCCTCTTTCTCAAGGGGGAGGGGGAGAAGCTGGTGCTGTTTCTGGTCTATGTGGACGACATTCTTCTCTTTAGCAGCAGCATCAAGGAGATCCAGAAGGTGCAGCAGCAGCTGATGGAGAACTTCAAGTGCAAGAACCTTGGGGAGGTAAAGTACTACCTTGGGATGCACGTAGAGAGGGATCTGGATCACAGGTGGTTGAAGCTGCACCAAGAGAAGTTCATCAAGGAGCTGGGGGAGGATTACGGGATTGAGAATGAGCGCAAGGTTGCAACTCCCCTGCCAGCAGAATTCAAGCTTGTGAAAGGTGCAGAGAATGAAGGGGTTGAAGCCGAGGAGCAGCAGCAATTTCAGTCCTTGGTGGGCAGCCTCTTGTATGCAGCAGTTCACACGAGGCCCGACATCTCTTTCTCGGTTAGGCAGCTGGCTAGGGTGGTGCAGAATCCATCACAGGAGCAGGTGGATGCACCTAAGCGTGTGGTGAAGTATCTGAACTCTCACCCAAGCATTGGAGTTCAATACTCCGCATCTGCACAGGTGAATCAGAAAGGGATTGAGGTGCTGAAAGAGAAGGGGGAGAGGCTTGGAGAAGGCGAGCTCTTTCTCACTTGCTATACTGATGCTACATGGCGATGTTCCATGGGGAGAAGGAGGTAATTTGGTTGAGGAGACTGTTGGAGGAGATTGGCCAGGTGCAAAAGGTTGCTACGCCGCTGTTTTGTGATAGCAAGGGGGCTCTTGGGATGGCCAGGAACGCTGTGCTTCATGGGCTCAATAAGCACATGTGTATCAAGTGGCACTGGCTACGTAAGGAGGTGAAGAGGGGGATGGTGAATCCGATCTACATCAAGACTCACCAGCAGCCAGCAGACTTCCTCACCAAGAGGCTTGCGGATGAGCCTCATTGGCGTTGTGTGCGCATGAGTGGAATGAGCATGAACTAGTATGGAATGATGGGGATGCAGCCGGCAGGCTGAGGGGGAGTGTGTTGGGTGCAAATACACATTGCACGACATCCTGCCATCTGTTTGTATGAGTATGCGTGTGCGAATGCATTTGGGTGTGAATGGAATGTTCCAGTGTTTGTTTGCTTTCGCAATTTTCGCTTGACGCATTTGCAGGTACTCGCGCATTATGCACTTCGGCACAACATTGTACTCGTTATGAACAGAACAAGCAGAAAGAACGAGCTTGCAAAGGAACCCAAGATGGAAGCTTTGCAGTTCAACTTACTTGATTGCGCAGATTCAGTTCTATCCAACTCGAAATTGTACTGTTTTGTTTGGTTGACTATAGTGTAGAAGGGCAGGCACTATAGGGGTACAATTTAGGTAAAGGTTGGATGTTGTTTGTCTGTATCTGCTTGCTAGAGGGCCAGGGGAAACCAGCGGAACCAGCATTTGGCTGGTTGGGCAAAGACAAAACAAGTTCTGTTTTTAGGACCTGAACCTGGTTATTGTTTTCCCCAGTTGGAAAAACAGAACCAGAGGTTGTTTACCAACCTACCACGTGCTGTTTTGTCCAGCCAGGTTGGTTCTGTTGCTTGGAATTAGTTGGGATCATCCCTAGTTGTTCCCAGGTTTATTCCCAAGGTCCTTGCTAGCTAGAACTATATATTCCTTCTCTGTTTGTACCTGAAAATAGTCAATTTGATTCAAGCGAATTCCTCCCCTCCTGGAATTTCGTTTCTACGCGGTGCGACGGCGGAATGCTACCCGAGTCAACGCTAGTACGCTAGCACTCGAACGCTAGGCAAACGCTGTCCGAGCCATAACTTCGTAATGGCATAACTTTTCAAGAGGCAACTTGGCTTATTTTAAAGCTCTTTGAGTGAGCTTCGATATAGGAAATTCTCAGCTTAATCCGGTCGACGGTCTGCACGATACGCTGCGCGACGTTCAAGGTACTCTTGCTGTTTTGACTAAGTCCCTCTTGATCCCTCTCTCTTCAAACTCGGACCCGAGGATAGGGACTGGTCTTGTACTTGGCACCCAAGGACCCTTGGAGGTGACCCTGAGGAGAGATTTTAAGTGTGACAAAGTTTTCATAGCTTGATTTTATTAGGCCCTTACACCAACAGGCCCTTAAACCAACACAAGTAACCGGTCCTCCCCCAACTACGCAGATGTATCCTTCCATTGATGAGGAATCCTCCTTCTCAGAGGCCTACGTAGCATCGGTAAAGCAAGTGAGAAAGAGCTTGCCTTCTTTAAGCCTCTCCCGCTTCTCTTTCTGCACCTCAACCCTTTCCTGCTTTATCTGTGCAGATGCGGAGTATTGAACTCCAATGCTTGGGTGAGAGTTCAGATACTTCACCACACGCTTAGCTGCATCCACCTGCTCCTCTGATGGATTCTGCACCACCCTAGCTAGCTGCCCAACCGAGAAAGAGATGTCGGGCCTCGTGTGAACTGCTGCATACAAGAGGCTGCCCACCAAGGACTGAAATTGCTACTGCTCTGTCAGATTATTATAGCTGATGCATGTTTGTAGGCTATAGTGGGGTAGCACATATGGGGTACAGTTTGCTAGGGTTGTATTTGTACCCAACTCTGACTTAGTCAATTCATTCCTGTTCAGTTAGTTTCACATGGTATAGAGCGGGTCCCTCCTAAGGACCGTTCTTTGGGCCCACCCACGATTTTTTTTTTTCCTGCCCGGAGCGCGCCCTATTCTCCCCGAGGCGCGCTCCACCTGGTGCGCGTCGAGCTACCCTTGTGGCGCCCCGAGAGTCGCGCGCGCGACTCATTTTTTTTCGCGCGCGCGGCCCAGGCCCCACTTCGCGCGGCCCTTACAGCCGCGCCGCGCCGCCCTCTCGGCTCTGCCGCGCCGCGCCGCCCTCAAGACGGCCGCGCGGCCTCTTCGTCGCTGCTGCAGGCCCCCCCCGCTGCACCTTTGTCGGCCCCGCAGCCGCCTTACCTGACGGCCGCCGCCTCACCTGACGGCCCGCCGCCTCGACTTCTGGCCCGCCACCTCACCAGACGGCCCCCCCCCCCGCCTCACCTGACGGCCCACCGTCTCACCTGCTGGCCCGCCACCTTACCTGACGGCCCCGCCGCCTCACCTGACGGCCCGCCGCCACCTTACCTGACGGCCCCGCCGCCTCACCTGACGGCCCGCCGCCTCACCTACTGGCCCGCCACCTGACCTGACGGCCCCGCCGCCTCACCTGACGGCCCGCCGCCTGACCTGCTGGCCCGCCACCTCACCTGACGGCCCGCCGCCTCACCCGCTGGCCCGCCACCTGACCTGACGGCCCCGCCGCCTCACCTACTGGCCTGCCACCTGACCTGACGGCCCCGCCGCCTCACCTGACGGCTCGCCACCTCGCCTGCTGGCCCGCCACCTGACGGCTCCGCCGTCCCCTGTCCCGGCCCCGCCGCTGCACCCTGACGGCCCCGCCGTCCCCTGCCCCGGCCCCGCAGCTGCACCCTGACGGCCCCGCCGAGCCGCCCAGCAGCAGCCGAGCCGCCCAGCCGCAGCCGAGCCGCCCAGCAGCAGCCGAGCCGCCCAGCAGCAGCCGAGCCGCCCAGCAGCAGCCGAGCCGCCCAGCAGCAGCCGAGCCGCCCAGCAGCAGCCGAGCCGCCCAGCAGCAGCTGAGCCGCCCAGCAGCAGCCGCGCCGCCCAGCAGCAGCCGAGCCGCCCAGCAGCAGCCGAGCCGCCCAGCAGCAGCCGAGCCGCCCGGTACGCGAGCTACCCGAGCCGCCCGAGCCGCCCGAGCCGCCCGACCCAGCCCGAGCTGCCTGCTGCTGTCCTGCCCGACTCTCCTAGCCCGGTGAGACTTTCAGCTGCTACCATGGCCACCCCCAATGTTCTTACTTTTGACGCTGAGGGGAGGGCCATTGACTTTGCCGTCTGGATTGAAGACCTGCAGCTGTACTTACTGTGTGATGCGATAGATGAGGTCTCTCTCTTTGACTTTGTCTCTGGCGCTGTCCCTGCCCCGCCTGCTGATGCTGACTCTGCTGCTCGCTCCAAGTGGGCGACCCGCGACCCGCGATGCTGCTGCACGTCTTGCTGTGCGTCGCCACCTCCCTTCCTCTGAGCGTGCCCACTTTAGTCAGTGCAAGACCGCTCAGGCCTTGTACGACGCTGTAGTTGCACGCTACTCCTCCCCTTCCTCCGCTACCCTTAGCCGCCTCATGCTACCGTTTCTCTTCCCTGACCTCGCTTCCTTTCCCACTGTTGCTTACCTAGTTACCCACCTCCGCGCTAGTGACACCCGCTACCGTGCTGCCCTTCCTGCTGAGTTCCGCGCTGCGAACCCTCCTCCCATGTACATCACTCTCTACTTTCTCGTCACCCGTCTCCCTGAGTCCCTTCGTGTCGTTAGGGACCAGTTTCTCTCTGTCTGTCCCACCACTCTCACTGTCGACCTCCTTGAGGAGTCCCTGCTAGCGGCTGAGAAGAGTATTGTCGCTGTAGGGGCCTCTCGGGGTGACCCTCGCACCCCCATCTTTGAGGGGTGTGGTCCTTCCCCCCTGCTGCCCTCTGTCGCCTCTGCCGCTGCGGCCGACCTCGCTGGTTTTGAGTCGGTCGGCGCGGCGTCTGCCCCCAGCGGCAGACGCCGCTCTGGCAAGGGCAAGGGGGGCAAGGGGGCGGGTGGAGCTAGAGGGGGCGGTGGAGGAGGCGGTGGGGGTGGAGGGGGGAGTGGGAGTGGCGGTGGGGGTGGTGGCGGGAGTGGAGGTACTAGTGGTGGCGGTGGAGGCGGAGGTGGCGGCGGAGGTGGTGGCGGAGGAGGCGGTGGGAGCGGTGGGAGCGACGGTCCTGGTGGGGGAGGTGGCGGTGGAGACGGGGGTGGCGGTGGAGGCGGGGGTGGCGGTGGAGGCGGGGGTCGGAGTGGCTCGTCCCAGCGGAGCAGCTCTGGGGGTGGTCAGCGCCAGCAGCAGCAGCAGCAGCAGCAGCAGCAGCCGCAGCAGCAGCAGCGCTCTCGCACCGTCCCCGGCCCTCAGCAGCTCCGTGAGTGGTACTTGCAGCGTCAGCGCGGTGGTGCACTTGGTCCCTGCCCCTACGTTCTTCGCACCGGTGACCGTGCGGGGGAGAGGTGTGGGGGCGCCCACACAGCCCGTCGCTGCTTTGGCCGCCTGACCGACGCCTGGCGTCAGCAGTTTCCGGAGGCCGCTGAGATCCCCCGCTGGGGAGAGCTGTCTAGGGCTGGAGTAGCTATTTATGATCTTGACTTTGATGCTATTCTCTCTGCTATGTATGCTGTGACTAGTAGTGATGAGGATGACTGTTACCGGTGTTTCCCGCCCGACCCGGGCATTGGTACTGCCGCGTCAGGTACTAGTGAGGCTGCAGCTCTAGGTGCCAGTGCGTCTGTGCTCTCAGGTGCTGGTGAGTCCGCGCTCTCAGGTACTGTGTCGGCTTCGGCCTCTCACACCTTCACCCTTGACTCTGGAGCGTCTCGCTCCTTCTTTAGGGACCGCACCACTCTCACGCCGCTGAGTCGGCCGGTTGCGGTGTCCCTGGCTGACCCCTCTGGGGGACCTGTCCTGTCTCGCTTCTCCACTGTCCTCCCGTGTCCAGCGGCCCCCTCTGGCACCCTGACTGGTCTCTACCTCCCCTCGTTCTCGACGAACTTGGTGAGTGGTGCTGACCTCCAGGATGCAGGTGTCCACCAGTTCACCCCTGCTCGTCAGCGGGTGACCCACTGTACAGAGGCGGATACAGGTCGTCACCTGGCTACGTTTACACGTCGGCCAGGGTCGAGCCTGTACACACTGACCACTGCTTCTCCTCCAGGTGCTGCGTCTGGCAGAGTCCCTTCGTCTGGTCAGGTGTTTGCTGCAGCGTCCAGGTCTGGTCCTGAGTCTGCCCCCTGTTCGTGTCGTCGTCTGTCTCACGAGACCCTCCTCTGGCACCACCGCCTTGGCCACCCCTCTCTGCTTCGGCTCAGAGGCATGGCCTCGCGGGTCCTTGTGTCTGGTCTTCCCCGGTCCCTCCCTCCCCTTCCTCCGGGCCCTGGCCCTGCCTGTGTCCCCTGTGTCGAGGGGCGCCAGCGTGCTACCCCTCACTCCTCCCAGTTTCCTCCGACAGAGGCCCCGTTGCAGACGCTTCACATGGACGTGTGGGGCCCAGCCCGCGTCCGTGGACAGGGTCAGGAGCGCTACTTCCTGCTGGTGGTTGACGACTACTCGCGTTACACCACAGTCTTCCCCTTGCGCAGCAAGGGTGAGGTCACTGAGGTGTTGATCGCCTGGATCCGCGCACCTCGTCTTCAGCTTCGGAGGAGCTTTGGCTCTGACTTCCCTGTTTTGCGTCTGCACTCGGACAGAGGCGGAGAGTTCTCCTCTGGCCTCCTGAGTGCCTACTGTCGTGTGCGAGGCATCCGTCAGACCTTCACGCTTCCGGACTCACCACAGCAGAATGGGATTGCTGAGCGCCGCATTGGCATGGTCATGGACGTCGCTCGTACGTCCATGATGCATGCGGCTGCTCCCCATTTTCTGTGGCCGTTTGCGGTCAGGTACGCTGCGCACCAGATCAACCTCCACCCCAGGGTCTCTCGACCAGAGACCTCCCCAGCCCTGCTGTGGACGGGGAAGGTTGGCGATGCGTCGGCGTTCCGGGTCTGGGGATCTCGGGCGTTTGTTCGCGACCTGTCTGCGGACAAGCTGTCCCCTCGTGCTTCTCCCTGCGTCTTCCTGGGGTTCCCCCCCGACGCCCCTGGGTGGCAGTTTTACCACCCCACCTCTCGACGTGTTCTGTCCTCCCAGGACGTCACGTTCGACGAGTCGGTACCCTACTACCGCCTCTTCCCCTACCGCACTCCGTCCCTCCCCCCGCCCCCGCTCTTCTTGGTACCAGCCCCCCCCCCCGGTAGTCCCCCTCCCCCCTCAGGGTCCTGCCCCTTCAGGTGTGTCCCAGGTAGACGCGGTCGAGCCTGTCGAGGTCACTGGTGACTCTGGTGCTGCTGCGGGAGCTGAGCCTGAGGGTGCGGGGTCTGGGGGTGCTGAGCCTGGGGGTACTGTGCCTAAGGGTGCTGAGCCTGGAGGTGTCGAGCCTGGGGGTGCTGTTCCTGGGGGTGCTGAGCCTGGGGGTGCTGAGCCTGGGGGTGCTGAGCCTGGGGGTGCTGTGCCTGGGGGTGCTGAGCCTGGGGGTGTTGAGCCTGGGGGTGCTGTGCCTGGGGGTGCTGAGCCTGGGGGTGCTGAGCCTGGGGGTGCTTCGTCTCGCCGGGAGCCACTCTCCCCACAGGAGCTGCGTGAGTGGTTTACCAGACGCTGGAGGCGTGCTGCTGGTGCTGGTGGTTCTTCGCCTGCAGTGGGTACTGCTGCCGCGCGTCCCGACGGTGCTCGTACTGTGGGTGCTGGAGCTGCTCGGTCTGAGAGTTCTCCTGGAGCTGGTGCTGCTGAGGGTGTTGGCGCTGAGCCAGCCGCTGGTGGTCCGACTGACAGTGCTCCTGGTGCTGCTGCTAGGGGTTTTGGAGCTTCTGGAGGTGCTGCTAGAGGTGCTGCTGGCGTGGGTGCTCCTGACGGGGGGACTGGTGCTGTTCCTGCTGTTTCTGGTGTCGCCGTGCGGCCTCGACCGTACTTTGTTCCGCTCCTACAGCAGGTTCTTGGTCTTGCACCTCCTCCTGCTTCCTTAGAGGGTCCACAGCCTGTTCGGTCACAGCCACAGCTACACCCTGCCTCCCCTTTGCCTGCTCCTTCTCCCTACGCTGGTCCGACTGGAGGTCTTACTGAGCGTCGTGAGCCTGCGTCTCGTCCTGCGTCGCCTGTTCGTACTGAGCGCGCTAGTGGTCGCGGGTCGCGTCAGCGTCCTCCTCCTGTCCCTGGCACGCACCGGATGTCACTGCGTCCGTCCACTGCTCCTCTGCGTGCCCCTTTGCCTTCTCCTCCTGCTTCCTCTCTTCCTGCTCTTGCCGACCCGGAGTCGAACTCTCTTCGTGCTGCCAGTCCTACTGTCACGCGTCTCCTTGCTACTGTTGTCACTGACCCTTCCTTTGAGTCGTCTGCTGCGTCTGCCCTTGTCACTGAGCTTGTCGACTTTGCTGCGCGCTGTCGTCTAGACTACGCTGCTCGTCTTGTCGCTGAGTCTGAGTCCGCCTGTCCTCCGTCCGTCGGGGGTGAGTGTGCCCTTGGCACGGACGTCCTAGAGGACAGGCAGGAGGAGTTACAGTGTCTAGCGGCTGCTTCACCTCATCTCGCGTCTGTACTGCTTGCCCCTGAGGGAGACCCGGATGCACTAGACATCCCGACTCCGCGTTCTTACGCGGAGGCCGTAGAGGGTCCCTACTCCTCTCAGTGGCAGGCAGCTATGGATGCAGAGATGGCTTCCTGGAAGTCCACAGGCACCTACGTTGACGCGGTTCCCCCTCCTGGGGCTAACATCGTCAGTGGCATGTGGATCTTCAGGGTGAAGCGGCCGCCGGGCTCCCCGCCTGTCTTCAAGGCGCGTTACGTGGCTCGTGGCTTCAGTCAGCGGCAAAGAGTTGACTACTTTCAGACCTTCTCTCCCACCCCGAAGATGACCACTCTTCGGGTGCTGCTGCACATTGCCGCTCAGCGCGACTACGAGCTTCACTCCCTCGACTTCAGCACTGCGTTCCTGCAGGGTAGCCTGCACGAGGAGATCTGGCTGCGCCGTCCGCCCGGCTTCACTGGGACTTTCCCTCCTGGCACCCAGTGGAGCCTCCGACGGCCAGTCTACGGTCTCCGCCAGGCACCGCGTGAGTGGCACGACACACTGAGGACTACGCTTGCGGCTCTTGGGTTTGCTCCTTCTACTGCTGACCCGTCGCTGTTTCTTCGCACCGACACTTCCCTGCCGCCGTTCTACATCCTCGTGTACGTCGACGACTTGGTCTTTGCCACAGCGGACACTGCTGGACTCGCCTACGTGAAGTCCGAGCTGCTGAAGAGACACACGTGCACAGACCTGGGTGAACTGCGCAGCTACCTTGGCTTGCAGATCACTCGGGACAGAGCACGTCGCACCATTACCCTGACTCAGTCACACATGGTGCAGCAGGTCATTCAGCGCTTCGGCTTCACGTACTCCTCGCCTCAGGCCACTCCTCTGCCTACTCGCCACTCACTCTCAGCTCTGCCTTCGGATGAGTCCGTAGAGTCGAGTGGTCCGTATGCAGAGCTTGTTGGCTGCCTCATGTACCTGATGACCTGCACACGACCTGACCTTGCATACCCTCTGAGCATTCTTGCACGCTATGTTGCTCCTGGGAGACACAGACCGGAGCACATGGCTGCAGCGAAGAGGGTATTGCGCTACCTGTGCAGTACGTCGGGCATGGGGCTAGTGCTTGGAGGGCGGAGTCCAGTGGTCCTTACCGGCCACGCGGACGCTTCTTGGGCTGACGACCAGGCTACGCAGCGGTCGTCACAGGGTTACACCTTCAGCCTTGGTTCCGGTTCTGTCTCGTGGCGGTCTACTCGCTCGTCTTCGGTTCTCGGCTCCAATTGTGAGGCTGAGATCTACGCCGGGGCCATGGCTGCACAGGAGCTTCGCTGGCTCACCTACCTGCTGACCGACCTTGGAGAGCCGCCTCGTTCTCCTCCAGTGCTGTACGTAGACAACAAGGCCATGCTGGCCTTGTGTCGAGAGCAGCGCTTGGAGCACAGAACGAAGCACATTGCTCTCCGCTACTTCCTTGCTCGTGAGCTGCAGCAGCGTGGTCAGTTGCGACTTGCTTACGTGGCCTCTGAGGCCAACACTGCTGATGTGTTCACCAAGGCACTTGCGCCTTGTGACCATCAGCGCTTTTGTACCCAGCTGGGTCTTGTACCTGTCTTGCCTCACTTGCTCTCTTCTTGACTTTACTTGTACTTTGTCATATATATACCTGCTCCTGCTTGTCTAGTTTTATATATATGTCTGTACTCCTGCATGTGAACTGGCCTCTGGCCCTGCTCTTGTGCTCGGACTGTGTGGTGACTTTGTGATCCACCCTGAGCTTGCTTTGCTTTGCTTTGTTTGACTGGTCTTGTGACCCCTTGTTCTCCCCCACTTTGCCTATGGGGGTGTGTCAGATTATTATAGCTGATGCATGTTTGTAGGCTATAGTGGGGTAGCACATATGGGGTACAGTTTGCTAGGGTTGTATTGGTACCCAACTCTGACTTAGTCAATTCATTCCTGTTCAGTTAGTTTCACATGCTCCTCGGCTTCAACCCCTTCATCCTCTGCAGCTTTCACAAGCTTGAATTCTGCTGGCAGGGGAGTTGCAACTTTGCGCTCATTCTCAATCCCGTACTTCTCCCCCAGCTCCTTGATGAACCTCTCCTGGTGCAGCTTCAACCACCTGTGATCCAGATCCCTCTCCACGTGCATCCCGAGGTGGTACTTTACCTCCCCAAGGTTCTTGCACTTGAAGTTCTCCATCAGCTGCTGCTGCACCTTCTGGATCTCCTTCATGCTGCTGCTAAAGAGAAGAATGTCGTCCACATAGACCAGAAACAGCACCAGCTTCTCCCCCTCCCCCTTGAGAAAGAGGCTCTCATCACAGCTGCTGGTCCTGAATCCCATCTCCTCTAAAACAGCTGCCAACTTCTGGTACCAGCACCGCTAAACGCGTGTTACGCGGTCGTTTG